AATGGACGTAGCACTCTTCCATACATTGTTCCCTCTCTCCTTAGAGCATGCTTGCCAACAATGGTTTTATTCCCTAGATGCCAACCGTACGGCGACTTGGCAAGATGTCATCGACAGTTTCATGAATTATTACAAGTGTAACATTCAAACTAAAACTTCTAAACGTGAACTCTTTATTCTCAAATAGTAAGCGAATGAAGGCTTCACCGCTTATCTGAACAGGTGGAGGGAAACGACTCTACTCTTAGATCCTCCCAAAAAAGAGAGATTGTTTGTGTAGACACCATTTGTGTCTCCACAAAACCAAACCCAGTGATGCGTACCTTTCACGTCGAATCATAATCGAATGAAGTGAAAGTGTGGAAAGCCTAGTGTTGCGGATAGTTTTAATTTCTTTTCTCTTCTCTCTGTTTTTGAAAACTTATTTTAAGAAAACAGTCAATATAGTTTGGTTGGTCCATGATATGGGTCCTATAGTAGTGTAGTTGGATGGGGTTTGACAAGAGCTTTCCAACGATATATTATAAGCCCAATTCCGATGAATATTGAGGAATTTATGGTCAATTTTCTGAACAGGGCCCGGTTTGAGCCTTATATGCGGCCCAATGATCTAGGGGAGGGCCTAATATAGATTTATCATTCCTAATGCAATTAGGAATAGTTTTAGTCTTCTAGATTCTTCTAGAGGGTTCTTTTCATTCCTAATTCAATTAGCATTGATAAATTGACTTTTGTTGACTTTTAAGAGTTTTAATTAAAATCAAAGAGCATTTTTTAGGTAAATACGATTTTATCCTCCTGTACGACAATTTTTATCTAATTTTAAGAAAACGCGTGATTTTCTGAAACAGCGCCAAACGCCAGCTGTAGCGCCTGGCGCTACGCTTGGCGCCTAGCGCTAATGTTGGCGTCTGGCGCCAATAGCCAGCATTGGCGCTAATTCAATTTTACGTGCGCCAGAACTCTGTTTTGATATTTTTTCTTTTTGCCTGATTTTCTTTATAAATAACGTCGTAAAAACTCCGTTTTCGATAACCAGTTTTCACCAACAATCATCAATTCTCTGTTATTCTCTTCTCACCAACTCTCGTCAAGATTCTCTTAATTTACTTTCTCTCTCTTTTTCTAAACTAGGTTCTCTCAAATATAAAAAATTCCGCATTCATTAGACTTAGATACACCTAGCCATATTCGAAGTTGCCTTCGCCCTAGACGTGAAAGGTTAATTTCTAAGGGTTTGGTCCCAAATCACTATTTCCAATTATTTAATTTAATTGTTTTGTTTATTGTTTTCCTTGAAGTTACTAACGTGTGTATTTTGTTATTAGAAAGAGGTACGAGGCATCAAAGTAAGTACTTTAATGGTTTTTATTGATATTATGATGTAGAAATCATCTTTAGGTTATTATATTATTATGATATTCCTAGTATAATGTCTAGGGTAACTTTAATATTAAATATGATTGTTACGATGCCTTTTATGTTCTTCCTAATATTTATGATTGTTAGTATCATGTTAGGGTTAAAGCTTTGATTTTTAATGTTTAGTGACATGCTAGGCTTTGTTATTAATCTTGTTAGTATCATGCCTAGGATCTTGCTATTTTTATTATGCTTTAACATGATTATTTATTATTTTTATAATTATTATTATTATGATGATTATTATTATTATGTTGCTTGATATTTATTGTTATTGCTTGATCACACCTTTTATGCATGTTTAAAGGGAATTTGTACTTGTAATCACGCTTAATAAGATAATTAATAATCTTGTTTAGGGTTAATTTGATTATAATTCAAGTGATCGCCAATAATAGTTTTATTTGTGCATTAAATTCAACAACATAGATAAACAGGTTTAGGGATAATCCTATTGATTGCATGTTAGTCAGAAAGCGCACATGAATACGATCAGAATAAAGTAGAGGCCTATTATTAAGGCAGGTTCAATCTCTTTTAGGTTGGATTTGTACCTTCATCCCCGAACCCTATTTGGTTCAAGACCTTATGGAGTGGACGATCTCTTGGATTGTTAAGGGGTGTAACCTTCACCTCGTGAACGGTTTACAAGTTCCTATAACTTATTGGCGACTCTTTTGCTTTGTCTTCTTCCCTTTTGGACGCCACCGTACTTTAGTGTATGATCACAGTGGGGTTCAAGATAGGGGATTAACGCTTGAAATATTCCCTATAGTTCGCCTTTTTATTTAAAATCTAACTCACAAGTATAGGGAACATCTCAAATTTCTTCCATTGAACACTTTCGAAGCTGTATACGATATCGGCATCAATATCAAGGATGAGCTAATAAAGGCTACTTGTAGTAACAAAAATAACACTTGGAAAAATAGGAAAAATAACCTTCTTTCTTCTTCGTCTTCTAAGCACGAAAATACTACCAACAATATAAGCCAAGTTGATCTCAATGAAGTGTTAGCTCTTGATGCTCCATTGCCCAAGAAAAGGGGAACTTACACTCCTTTAGGAATGAATTATGATGCAGCCTCTGATCGCCTCTATGGTCAAGGCTTGATCACACCTATTGGCCCATTTCCAGAGCCAAAACCAGAAGAAAAGATCGCCAAATGGAATCCCAATGCCCATTGCAGGTACCATTAAGGAAGGGGTAACTCTACCGAACAATGCTGGATTTTGATGGATGCAATTCAACACTTAGTAGATGCCAACAAACTTCCCGTCCCTCCAGGTGGTAAGATGTGACAAGAAGTAATGAACACAAGGCGCACGGCTATCCTTTCGCGCGAAATTTCATTTTTTTTTATCTTTTAGTTTCCCTTTCCCCAATTCAATTCTAGCATAGATTTCCCTTTCTATAATTTGATAATTTTGTAAGCTTATTCACCATTTTCATCAATAAATTGAGTATTCTTTACATCTCGATCATTTTCACACACAAAAAATAAATCAATTACCAAACTAAACACAAGGTACACCAATGACTTGAGGCACCTTTGCAACCCTATCATTCCTGATTATCCATTCAATCACATATCCATTTCTTCGTCAACCACTTTGATCCTTGTCTAACGATTGACCTTATTTATTCAACCCACATTCACTTAACCCTGGGATGCGAAGGTATGCAATTTGTGTAACATTCAGAAAGCAAGATAAAATAAAAAAAAAAAACCAAAAACAAAGGTAAATAAAAAAAAAAATTAAATAAAAATGTCCAATGGCAAGTGTTCCAATGTCTTCAATATGAACACGTCTCAAATTGCGTCTCTCATCAAGTGCTTGGTACCATGGCTGAAAAACATGAATGCTAAGTGAGTGATGGACCACATGATCCGAGATTGTCTACATTGATTCAATAAAAAAATTCAAATTAAAAAAATATATGAAAAATAAAACTTGCAAAGTCCAAGTTTTCAAATACAAAATTGCATATTTTGGGGGCTTCGCTCGGGTCTTGATCATTTTACCCCTTTCTTCCTTAAACCTTTAGCTTAACCACATTACAACCCTTGAAAGAACTCTTTGAGGTGTACATACACTTTTGAAAAGTTTGGTTAGAGCTACATTTGTCATGATTCCTAACGGATACTTAGGCAACCCCTCACATTGAGGTGCGGCCACATGCATATGTATGATCGAGTCAAAGAATATCCAATGCTTAATCCTATTACCCTATCCATCTAAATCTAGACTTAGGGGCTTAAAACCACATCATTTAGCCTACCTAGCCTAAAGAGTCACCATCTTGACTCTTCTCACATCTATTTCCCTCACCATAGCCTTTGCAACCTCACCTTAGTATCACTTTCACACACTTCTTTCACACATACATAGCCATATCATCTTTCCCTTAGGAACCCTTTATCGTGACATCTTGTTTCCCTACCACACATGCTTCATTATCTTTTTAAACAACATTCATTAGAAGAAACATTATATACTTGCTTAGCTTCCTAACCTAAGCAATATTCATTGTTTCACGCGTCGCATAATTGTAAGCGTCGCTCAAAGTGCGCCTACATTAAGCTTATTATGAATATGCTTGGCACTCATAGGAAGTGGGAATTGACATATACGATTAAGGACAATGATTAGGGACAAGGAAAGTAGGGAGTCTCCAACAAGTTTTTAAGGAACTTGTAAACCGTTCACGGATCATAAAAGGCAACCACGAATAAAGGGACAACGATAGGAAACAACGATTTACCCGTGAAGGTTACACCCCATTCATAATCCATGAGATTACTAACACCATATGGTTCGGAACCACTAAAGGAGGATCGGAGATGATGGTATGAAGTGAGTCATGGAGTCATATTCGCCCGTATTGGCCTCTACCGGATTCTTATAGTGAAAAATGATTCCTGCGATCTCAAAGGCATGCAAATAAAGATTCAATTTGCTCCAAACTATTATTATGCTAAATTGGTTGAATATTAATGCAACATATAACTCTAAAATATTAATGATCACTTGATTAAACAATAAGATTAAAAAGGAACCTAAACCGGTCGTCCAAATTATCTTATTAGGCGTGATTTTCAATTACATATTCCCTTTAACATGCAATATGGTAATCAATAAATATAATAGAACAAACATTAATATTGGAAGCAATTCAACTATAGTAGCGTTAGTCAAATCAGATATAAATAAACTTAATCATGATACTAGCAATAAGAATAAAAATAAGAGTAATTAAGTGAATCAATTACTCACTTTCCGTGTTTCCTTGAATTGCTACATCATGAATAAAATGTTAGTAACTTCAATAAAAATATAAATCAAATTGAAAATTAAATTAAATAAATGTAGATTTGATTTGGTCCAAACCCTCAGTTATTTGTACCTTTCACACCTTGGTTTAAGGACGAAACCTCGGGTTAAGTATGGATTCCTTGGAGAGCTAAACACTACTACAAAAAGTGGAATAAGAAACACAAAATAGAGAACTGTCAAGTTGGATATGCGTTTTGTAAAATAATATAGAACGCTTTTCACTTATAGGCGTTTAATAAATGAAAGAATATAGAACAGTTAGGTAAGCTAACAGCTCTTTATTATTTTCATCCCCAAAAAAATAAATACCGCTAAATAATTTAAGAAGATAGAGATCGGTTGTATTCCTAACAGTTGCGTATTCTTTAGATACAAAAACCTAAAATCACCCACCCTTTTACCAGCCGCTAGCCATATATAACTTACTCTTCAACAATTAGCATCATCTTTTCATCTTTAACTTACAAACCCCTTTGAATTTTTTTCATCAACCGTATGAGGTAATTTCTACACCTCTTTTCCCCTCAATTTCTTCTATTGTACAATTATCGTCCTTCATCCCTTCAATTTCTCTTGAATTTATTCTACTTTTTTTTACATGTCTTGCAATTATTATTGGATTGGGATTTTGGTTGAAGATCTGACAATCGATGAAGGATTTTGTTGCTCCGATAATACATATAATTATCAGTGAGCAACCACAGTCGAATTTAATTATGTAAGCTAGCTTTCAACTTTTTCGACTAACATGAATATAATTTATTGTTCCTCTTTTCTCAGATCTAATTATTTTTTGTTTTTTTTTCAACTGATTGTATGTTCGATTGATGTACTTTACGCCTTTAAACTGAATAGTTTTTGTAGTTGTTGATTTTAATTGAAAATGATGTTAAAGATCTACAGACTACAATTTAGAAGTTGATTCAATTCGATTTGTTGTGGGTAAAGATGACTCTTTGATTTGATTTAAAGATGATGTTATAGATAGTATGGTTAATTTGATATGCAATATGATGAAAATGCCTTAATCGTTTCTTGTTTTTGTTTGCTTCGCCATTTTTGTTAATAGAAACGAAAAGCTCATTGTTTATTGGATTTGCTAGTTATACACTTAAGAATTAAACGCAAGTTGTTCGATTTTTATTATTATTTTATTGATCTAATACAATTTTTTTGTTTATTTGTTTATTTTAAACAGACTAGTCGAAATCAGAGGAGAAGAAATGCTTGAATTAATATCTTCACGGAGTTTTTTTTTTTTTTTGTAAGTCTCTTATTCTTCATTTTTTTTTTTTTGGACTTCCATTAAAAATGTATATGTACTGTTTTGATTAATTGAATATAGAGTTTGTTCTTGTATATATATATATAGAGAGAGAGATTGATGGCATTTGACTATTTTCATTTAAATTTTACAGTTTGAATTTGATTTATATGAATGATGACTTGATTAGTCGAACTATGGAGAAATGTAGACAAATAGCCTTCGTGATTCGTGCAAATATTTTTTAAAAAGAAAAAAACAATAGCAAAGAGAACGGTTTTCTGAGACAACCGTTCTTTTTCCCTTGCTTTTTTTTAATTAGTTTCTCAAGGGAAAAGAGAACGGTTATTTGGCCGATCTATAAACTTTATACATCGCTTAGCAGAAGAACGCCTACGAGGCGTTCTATAAGGCCTATTTTAACAGTTCTCTATTACTTTTTTTTGTAGTAGTGTAAGGGAAGAATGTTGTAATTAGGAATATAGGTTTAAGGCATAGAATATAAGAGAGTGAAAATAGAATGATTTGATTCCCTGAACTGCAGAAAGGAGGGTCTTATTTATAGAGGAAATGAGCAGAGGGAACACACGGAACCCTAAAAAGATAAAAACCTTAAAAAATAATGCTGCAACACGGCAAAAATGCACCGTGACACGATATACTTTAGTGTGACGCGGGGTAATTTGGTGTGATGCGGGACAGAAACAAATCTACAGAAGATAAAACGCGTTTAGGGATTACGTGGAGAAAACACGGAGAAAGTGTCACGGGATGTGCACCGTGATAAGGTAAAATATGTCGTGACGCGGCAATATTTCTCGCGACACTTTTTCCCGTGACACGGTGCAGTGTTTGCGTCCAGATTCATATGTGCGTGGGAAAGAAACGCGGAAAAGACACGTGAAAGCACCATCGTGTCACGGTACCATGCCCTGTGCCACGTCATCATCTCCCGTGACGCGGCAGGTATGTTGTTTGCGCGGCAATTCCAATTTTTTACGCGTTTTTAAAATTTCGATAACTTTAGATCCGTAACTTGGAATAAGGAATATAATATATCATTGGAAATCTTATTAAGTCTACTTTCCAACCAAATTAGAATCAGGTCAAAGTGAATTGTAGATTTTAAGATATGACCGGTTTAGTGGAAGGGTGTCGGTTTTGGGCCGAGTTTAGTGTTTTGCTCATATCTTTTTCGTTATAGCTCGGAATTGGGCTTATGATATATGGTTGAAAATATTATTTCAAGGCCTATCCAAGAAAATAATAATTGGATAAAAATTATAAGACTAAAAAATAAGTTTCTTTCAGTTTTGCGATGTGGACACGAAAAGTGGATAACAAGTTATGGTTTAGGGAAGTGAGCTAGGAAATGGATTGGTTTATGAAATGTATTGGATAGAACATGAATTTAAGCACTTCAAATATTAAATACTCAACCCAACCAATAATGGCGGTGAAAGGTGTTCATCATCGGATATGGTTTTGTGGAGATATTTTTAGGTGTCTACAGAAGCCCCCACTTTGACTAAGTTTGTAGAAACGTCAGTTTTGAAAAAGATAGTCAAAGTAGTCGATAGGGACGGAGAATGATTTAAGACGTTCTACGATCCTCAATCACTCTATATACGCCGATACCTGCAGAAAAGTGTTAGTTCCGCAGATAAATAAGTTTGGTAGCTTCCTATGCTTGAAGGAATCCACCGGATGACGTTTGTTGAAATGCTTTCCATGCCTGAGGAAACCCGACTGACGAGTTTAGTAGCTTTCTATGATTGAAGAAATCTACCGGATGATACTTTCCCTGCTTAAGGAAAGTCGACATATGAATTTGGCGGTTTTCTATGCTTGAAGAAATCCACCGGATAACACTTTCCACGCTTGAGGAAAGTTGACAGATGATAAGATTGCAAGTCTCTGTGTATCGAGAACCTTGCACTGTGAAATGATGGTGGTTCGATTGTCCCCGAACGTGGGTTGTAGTTGGTTCACTTATCCCCGAACTTGGGCTGTAAATGGTCGCTTGTCCCCAGACGTGGGCTGTAGTTAGTTCGCTTGTCCCCGAACGTGGGTTGTAAATGGTCCACTTGTCCCCGGACGTGGGCTATAGTTGGTTTGCTTGTCCCCGAATGTGGGCTGTAGATGGTCCGCTTGTCCCCGGACGTGGGCTGTATCTGAGACCTGCAAAATAAAATTTGCCAAGGGACTCGTATAGACTATGATTGACTTGACCAATGACCAAGCTTTGACTTGACAAGACATGACATGTGTATGACTTGTGATTGTGTGTGTATAAGTATGATTTGAATGTATGAGCAGACACAAGAAATCAACAATGCAAAAAGCAAAAATTTTCTTTCTTTTTTGTCATGAGATGAGTGGAGGGTACCAACTTTTCTCCCGAAAAAGATAGACGTGAAAACTGAACTTTTATTTTTGAACTTCCCTTGACCAGAAAATTTTTAAAAAGTTTTTGAAATTCCCCAAAAGAAAATAATAAAAAAGGGAAGAAGTTTAGAACTTCCTCCTTGAGCAAGACGAAATGAATCGTATGGATTGAATTGCTTGTCTTGAAAACAATGTATGCATGATGCATTTTCTTAGGCCAGGAGGCTAAGGACAATTACATCATGTGACAGGATAGATGAATAAACTTAGGTCATGGAGCTAAGCATCATATATGGTGTAAAGAAACGATTTTGAACATCACTTAGGTCAGGAAGCTAAGCACGTATATAGATGAAGTGATTATGAATGTTGCTTAGGTTAAGGAGCTAGGCACGATATGCAATGCATGAAACAATGAATATTACTCAGGTCAGGAAGCTAAGCAAGTATACAATGTTTCTTCTAATGAATGTTATTATGAAACATGCAAAGTGTTGAAACAAGATTTCATGATAAAGAGTTCTTAAAGGGAAGGATGATATGGATATGGATGTGTGAGTGAAGTGTGTGAATGTGATACTAAGGTTGGTTGGAAAGGTTATGGCGATGGAAATATATGTGAGAAGAGTCAAAGATGATGACTCTTTATGCTGGGTAGGCTAATGTGATGTGGGTTCAAGCCCCCAAGTCTAGCTTTAGATGGGTAGGGGTAAGCATTGGATATTCTTTGACCCGATCGTGCATATGAATGTGGTTGCACCTCAATGTGAGGTTGCCTATGTATCCGTTAGGAATCAGGCTGAATGTAGCTCTAATTGAACTTTGCACAAGTGTATGTACACCTCAAATAGGTCTTTCAAGGGTTGTAATATGGTTAAGTTGATGGTTTAAAGAAGAAAGAGGAACAAGGCTCAAGACCCGAGAGAATCCCTAAGATATGTAATTGTGAATTTCAAAATTTTGAATTTTGCAAGTTTATTTTTTTTTCATTCTTTTGAATCAATGCAGGCAATCTCAGATCATGTGGACCATCACTCACTTAGCATTCATGTTTCTCAGGCACGGTACCAAACACTCGATAAGAGACGCAATTCGAAACGTGTTCGTATCAAACACATTGGAACACTTGCCTTTAGACATTATTTTATTGTTGCTTTGCTGCCTCTTTTTTTTACTTGCATTTTTAATGTAATATAATTACACATCTTCCAATCCCAGGATTAAGTGAATGTGGGTTGAAGAAATGAAGGCCAAACGTTAGACGAGGCTCAAAGTGGTTGATGAAGAAATGGAATGTGATTGCACGGTAAACAGAGAATGACAGGGTTGCAAAGGTGCCTCAAATCATTGGTATACCTTGTGTTCAGTTTGGCAATTGGTTTTTTTTTTTTTTTTTTTTTTTTTTTTTTTTGCATAAGAAAGACATGATCGAGATATAAAAGAACAATGCTCATTTTATTGATGAGAATGGTGAATGAACAAGCACAATAGAGTCTACAAAGAAAAACCTATGCTAGACATGAATGGGGGAAAAGGAAACGAAAAAAAAAGAAAAGAATGAAATCTTGCACAAAGGGCTCGCCGTGTACCTTGTCTTCATTACTTCTTGCCACCTGAAGGAACAGGAAGTTTGTTGGCATCTACTAAGTCTTGAGTGGCGTCCTTTAGAATTCCTACACTGCTCAGTAGTGTGGCCTCTTCCTTGATGGTACTTGCAATGGGCATTGGGATTCCATTTGGCGCTCCTTTCTTCAGGTTTTGGCTCTGGAAATGGCCTAATAGGTGTGATCAAGCCTTGAACATAAAGGCGATTAAAGGCCGCATCATAAGTCATTCCTACATGATTGTAAGTTCTTTTTTCTTTGGCAATGGAGCATTAAGAGCTAACACTTCATTAAGATCAACTTGGCTTATATTGTTGGTAGTATTTTCGTGCTTAGAAGATGAAGAAGAAGGATGGTCGTTCTTCTTGTTTTTCCAAGTGTTATTATTGTAACTACCAGTAATCTTTATTAGCTCATCCTCGATATTGATGTCGATGTCGTATACAGCTTCGAAAGTGTTCAGTGGAAGAAATTTGAGATGTTACCTATACTTGTGAGTCAGATTTTGAATAAAGAGGCGAACCATATCTCTCTTTATTTGGGAGGATCTACCAAGAGTAAAGTCGTTTCCCTCCACCTGTTCAGATAAGCGGTGAAGCCTTCATTCTCTTTCTGTTTGAGAATGAAGAGTTCATGTTCAAAAGTTTTAGTTTGAATGTTACACTTGTAACGATTCATGAAACTATTGGTGACATCTTGTCAAGTGTAAGGAGGGTATTCCCATCGTAGGGGATCCTTCTCCTTAGATGCTCATGACCCTTTAAAGCCTAGGACTTTACACTTGTTAGGGTGTATTAGGATTTGAATTCATGACTGTTTGGAAGACCTTTGAATTATAGATGATTCTATCACATATGCTTTTTTGAAAGAAACAAGTAGGAGTCGCCAATGAGTTAGAGGAAAAACCCATAAACCTTGTTCATGCCTTTCTCCCAATTAGAGTTCAAGGGATATTTAGCGTGAATCATAAGTTTACCCATGCCCAAATTGGTCTAGAAAACCAGAAATGAGTTCGGGAGCGAGGGTACTAAGATAACGTTCCCTTTAGAGGGGAATCGCGATCCTAGCCCTAGTGCGGCCTCTACTAGCTCTTCCTTTGCACAATTTCA